GGCATAAGAGCAAATAGAGGGTAGATGAGCTCTAATCCATTCACCACCATGTTTGTGGGTGGTGGACCTTGGATGGCCTTTTTCATAGTCAAAACATACTTTTTAGATCTGGCTTCTTGGGATGTATTCAAGGATGCTAGCCTTGTTTGAGACTGTAAATATGTCTAGTGAGTAGGGCTTGAATCTGTGCACATTTGCCTTGTTTTGCACAGAATTCGGCACAGCCCCAAGCACAGATGGGTGCTTCATAAATATTATTGAAGGATGATGACACAAAGGATTATTTAATACCTCCACATGGGGTGGAGATGGACCTCAGGCCGCAAACATACTTTCAATGTGTTTTACTTCTGAAATCATTTGAACCAAAATGTTTCAGCAACACAGATTCATCTGCAACCACAAATCAGACACATTCAGAATGACAAAGCCCCAAAAGAATGCCATTTTCAAGACTGAAACTGTATTATTCTGGGCTAAATGGAATCCTTGTTTCAGTGACACTTTAAGAGTAGAAATTAAAGACACTGAAAATCTTCCCTTGGGGAACCACAATTATCTGTGAACAATGAAAGTTTGTCTGAATAATTCATCAGTCTCAAGGGTACAGGCCTCCCCTTATTCTGGAATCCCAGGAGTTTAGGCAAGTGTGTCATTTAATGGGTTTCAACTGTGTCCTCTGTTGTTATTCTTCCAGGGCCCAGCATTTATGGGCACATTCCTATAATTTTACTAATTTTTTAAAAATAAGCTATATGGGAATCCATTGTCAAGGTCAAAATTTTGACGCTGCATTGATTTTACCTAGGAAGAAAGAAGCTTATAAAGTGTCCATCATGAGAATCCACCTGGGACCTACACAACAGATCAAATACCCAGAACAAATCGCCACGTCAGAGCCCCACAGAATTCTGAATCCCAACCAGCAAGCATGAATAATCCTTTTAAACGGTCACTTACATGTCAGAACAGGTCCTTTGTGAAATTTCTAAGCAAGGCCTCTGGTTTCTGACTGAAACAGATATTTATTGCGAAGGGGGGCACGTAAAGTGAAAACAAGAACTACTGGGAAATTTCCACAAGAAACAAGGACAAATGGTTTTTGTTGTCAGAATGAAACCAGCTTCCCCTAGCCATGGTTTGGAAAATTATTTGCTAGCCCACAGGGGACAATATTCTCAACTGGTTTATCAGGGACCCTTTTGATCCAATTATAGTTACTGGGCAGATACAGTCATACCCTATTATCAGAAGACCTAGTTTCAAATCCTGAGTCAATTTCTAATTCACTGTGTGACCTTGTACAAGTCACTTAAGCTCTCTGATCATTGGTTTAACATCTTTAATGTGAGGAGAGTAATGCCTATCTCAATTACCTCACAAAATTATTGCAAAGATCAAGTGAGACGATATGTTACAAATTCTTTCTAAATTGTAAGATTCTGTTTAAGTGGAAGGGTTAAATATACTCCCATATTACTAAATACCCTACATAGCACTCAGGATCCTACATTACTCTGAGTTCTCAATTTCTAGAAATGGTCCCATTTTTGCTTTGTTCCCTACAATTCTACGGAGTCTTTTTTTTTTTCTTTTTTCTTTTTTTTTTTTTTTTTAAGGAAGGGTGTAGGCAAAGGTAAATGGGAGAAAACATGGAATCACATGCCACTCTTTGGTACTGTTAGACAAGAATTTTAAAGTGAGTTTAGTTCACCATCATGGACTTAATGTCCATATCACCTCAGGGAGACAAGTAGAGTGGGAGGCATCCAAAAGGTAGTTGATTCTTCTCCCCTCTAGTGAAGAATACAAGGTCAATTTACAAAAAAATACTAGCAGCAAATAACTGGAAAATTAAATTTATAAAACATTTATAATAGCATCAAAATAAAGAAAATCCTCAGAAATAAATTTAACAAAAATTGTATAAGATCGCTACATTAAAAATTATGAAATACATGTAAGAGAAATTAAAGAAAACCTAAATAGAGAGATATACCATATTCATGGATTGGAAGATTCAATATTATTAAAATACTATTCTCCCCAAATGGCTCTATAGATTCAACATAATCCCAATCAAAATCCCAGTAGGCTGTGATAGAAACTGAGATGTTGGTTCTAAAATGAAATAAAATGCAGAGGACTTAAAACATATAATTTCCCTTTAATTTGACAAAGAAGAAAAACATGTTGGAGAGTTCGCCTGATTTCAGTGTAATATTTACATACAAATCAACAAATAGATAGTGGTATAGAATAGAGAATCCTGAAATAGATCCACATATATATGGTCAACAGATTTTTAATAATGGTACCAAGGCTATTCAGGGGAAAGAAAATTCTTTTTTAAAAATAGGATTGGAACAACTGGATAAGGGAAATAAGCGAACCTTGACCCCTACCTTATACTATGCTCAAAAATTAAATCAAAATCATCATAGACATAAGAAAAGTTAAAACTGCAATGACTCTAGAAGAAAATATAGAGAAAAATATCTTTCAGACCTTGGGGAAGGCAAAAATTTCTTGTAGTGGAAAAAGACATATATAATAACCATATAATCCATTAATAATAAGAAAAAATAAACTGGACTTCATCAAAATTTAAAACTTCTGCTCATCAAAAGATACTAAGAAGAAGATTAAAAGTAGCCAGTTTCAGTGGCTCATTTCCATAATCCTGGCACTTTGGGAGGCTGAAGCAAGGAGACCACTTGAGGCCAGGAGTTTGAGACCAGCCTAGGCCTCAAACTCGTTTTTGTAGCAACGAGATCTAGTTTCTACAAAAAAATGCTTTTAAAATTAACTGGGTATGATGGCACACGTGTAGTCCTAGTTACTCAGGAGGCTGAGGTGGGTGGATTGCTTGAGTCCAGCAGTCAAAGGTTACAGTGAACTATGATCATACCACTGCACTCCAGACTGGGCAACACAGTGAGACCCTTTCTCTAAAATAAATAAATAATTTTTATGTCATCTGAAACCAAGATCATACTCAAATTTTCCCTCAGTGTTCTCTTGTTGTCCAGGTTGGCATACAATGCCATGGTCTCGGCTCACTGCAACCGCCTCCTCCAAGGTTCAAGTGATTCTCCCGCCTCAGCCTCCCAAGTAGCTGGGATTACAGGCATGTGACATCATGCCTGGCTAATTTGTCCCACAGAATCTCATTTTCTGGATTTTGTGGCTATTTTCTCATGGTGTTGATTTATTTATAAGGTAAGATTTATATACAGTGAAATGCAGCATCTTACAGGTACAATTCAATGAGTTTTGAAAAATGCATACATCCATGTAACCACCACCCAGATTAAGACAGAACATTCCCATCACCTCAGAATGTTTCCCTGTGCCTTCTTCCTATCCCTCATAGGGTAAGATTGTCATAATTTCTATTGCCATATATATGTTTACCTGTTCTGAAACTTCACAGAAATGGAATTATATATTATGTACTTGTTTGTTACTGGCTTTTTATCATTTTATATATTTTTATTCATCCACACCCACAGCATGTGTCAGTATTTCATTCCTTCTTGTTAGTGTGTAGTATATAAATGTGTAAATATATCACCATTTATTTTTGCAATTTCCTGTTGATGGACATTTGTGTTGTTTCCAGTTATTAGCTATTATGAATCATGCAGCTATGTATCTTATTATACAGGTTTTTTGTGGACATATCTTCATTATTTTTGGGTAAATATTTAGGAATGGAACGCTGGTCAGATGTAAGCTCCATTTTACAAGAAACTGCCAAACTGTCTTTCATTTTACGCTTTTGTTTGCAATGTATGAGAGTTCTGGTTGCTTCCTATCCTCATCAACATTTGGTGTGGGACTACAGGAATATGCCACCACACCTGGTTGATTAAAGAAAATTTTTTTGTAGAGACAGGGTCTTGCTGTGTTGCCCAGGCTGGTCTTGAATTCCTGGCCTCAAGTGATCCTCCCACCTCAGCCACTCAAAGCTCTAGGATTATAGGTGTGAGTCACCACGCCTGGTCAAAATTTATTAATTGGTAGTTGGTGATTGTTGATGGAAAAGAAAAAGCAGGTGACAAGCCATGTACCTTTTGATGTCTTTAGTATTATAAAAGGCAAATAAATTACATATGCATATATAATGCATATTATATTATGAATTTTAGTAATATGTATATAATGTATATGTATAGAAAGAGATACAGTAAGTAATATAAACTTTTCTATTAACATAGGTAACCCAAGGAAGGGGTATGATGTTTACGTTTTCTTATTTGTGCTTTCTAACTTTCCACCAGGCGCATATACTGTTTCTATAATAATATATGCTGTTTGAAAATGTCAGACTCTGAAATTCAGTGTTTTATCATACAGGGTGATAGATGGGAGGGATGGATAGAGCAAGAAGAATGAAACCTAATAGGGTTAGTTAGAGCCCTACTGAGTGAATCTCTTGTTGGGTATTTTCCATGCACTGTCTCATTTCATTCTTACAATAAACCTATGAAGTATCATTTTTCTGTTTGTACAGAGCTAATAAGGCTGTAAGCTAGCATTTGAACATAATATAATCTGATCTCAAAACCCATGCTTTTTTCCCCTCACTTATACATACGTACTTTCAGGTTAATACATTTTGTTGCTAAACATTTATGTAGTATTTACTATGTACCAGGCACCATGTTAAATATTCTACATGAATCACCTCTTTTGTACTTCATAACAATCCATATAAAGATATTACTATTATTATCCACATTTTACAGATAAGAAAACTGAGGCACAGAGACTAAATAAGTCTGCTAAATTCCCACAGCTAGTAGGTGGCAGAACCAAGAATTAAGCTCAGGCCACCTGATTCTCCAGCTTCTACCCAGTACACTATACCATGTTCCCATGCTTTCAACACATTCCCAAATGGAGCAGGGGAGAGTGAGTGCCAGCAACCAACAAAAGAGACATCGACGTCAAAGGTCTACCATAAAGTTTTTCATGGTGACATCCTTGCTTACCTGTCCAGGGCCATGCTGGTTGGCATACTCCTCCCAAACCCACGGACCCCCATCTGACGGAAATACGGAATGCAAGGGAGGTTGGCAGCAATGATGGCCAGGGAGTCAGAAGGGCTCACAAAGAAGCCATTTTGGCCTAGGATCATATAACGGTCCTGTAGGAAGGAATGCGTAAAAATGATCAGACAGAAGCATCTGCTAGCAGCCCATTCCCATAATCATCACAATCCACTTTACTGCCATCTTATATTTAACAACCTAACAACTTGAACAAGGCCAAAGAGAGCATGGGAAACATTCTTCTAAATCTCTGAGTATCAAGGGCCCAGAATCTTGACACACCAGGAATATGTTCCACCTTTTGAAATGTGGCTCAAGCTTTAGAAACCCCCACACTTAATTCTTTCTTTCTCCCAAACATAATAGAGAACACTGGTTCTTGCAGAAATAGCTGATTTCTTAACTTGGTGCTTTCAACAACACCAGCCATAAATAAAGATTTATTGAATAATATATATTTTTAAATAAACAACCTTTGTATGCCATAATGTAAATCTGGACCTCAGAAAAGTAATCGCTATTTAATTGCAATACTTAGTCATGAAAGAGAAGGGCAGATGCAGAGCCAGTTACGGCACACATGCCCCATACATGTTAGCTCCAGATGTGTTCATTAATTCTCTGATTTCCAATTCATGGCTCATTATATGGTCAAAGTGTCAGCAGACAGAGAACTTTCCTACTTACCCCATCAGCATCAAATGCAGCTCCAAATCCATATTCTCCTCCTTTCATTGCTTCCAGAAGAGTCGTTGCATATGTCAGGTTTGGGTCAGGGTGCTGCCCTCCAAAGTCTTCCAGGGGAACACAGTTTATTGCAGAATTGGCTGGGGCCCCCAGTTCATCACACAGAACTTTTCTCACATAAGGTCCCATAACTAAAAATAGATACACAGCAATATTAAATATTTGCAGAAACTTCTCCCCAGAGTATTTTGTTCTGAATAGTATAGGAAACACAATTTAATAACTCAGAAGAAAAATATAAATTTACAATCTTTTTAAAGACACAATAGAGAATGATATTTGCTTGAACTACTATTTATTGAGCATCTACTATGTGCCAGTTACTGTGGTAGGAATATAGAAGATGTATTCAATCATCTAGTTACATAAATTTTTTCTCCCAAAACTTTTCTAAAATGTTGCCAGAAAGAAATCAGCTACGTAATAATGATTCATTGTCTGTTGCTTTTCATGTATTAAGAGCTTTAGCTGAACATACGCAAAAGTATTAAAGGGCTCTAGCAATGTTCTTTGTCTCTGCAATCATTGGACTCTGCCAAGTATATAATTAAACACTATAAACCACTGAAGCATATAAAAACAAGCACATTTTACCAAAATACATGCCAAGGAATAGTATTTTCCAGTTCAATGAACATTATGGAGTGCCTAACATAGAGCTGCTCTGCTAGGAAATGAAGGGATCATATTGAAGGGGTGCAAAGCACATAGTTTCTACATTCCTGGGCTTGTAATCTAGTAGTGGGATGAGTAAAAGCTGCAGATGAATGACTGCAGTGGTAAGACTAAACAATGCACATTGATGAAATAATTATATCCAATGGCTTAAGAGAAGCAATAACCACACATAAGGCTTCAAGGAAGAAGCAGCATTTCTGGTGGAACTGGAAGGAATAATATAAAGTTGACAAGGATTTGGGTTTGGAATGGGAAGCCCATCTAAATCGAAGGAACATTATGAGCAAGGGAACAGAGCCTGAGGTAGAACATAGGGCACATTTGGGGAACAGCATATAATCCTCCTAACTGAAATATCTGAAAGATACTGCTTTCCACTTATTTTCCATCAATACAACACAAAATCCTCCAATAGTGAACATCTCTTGATTGTGCCTGCCCAGTACACATTTCCTCTTCCTGTGGATACAGCATTTGTGATTTCTATTGGAGAAAAACTCCCTTCCCCATATCTCAGCTCATGGGGTCTGGGTATGGCTAAATCCCACCTCCCCAAGGCTAAGGAGGTGACCTAGGCCTGCCCAATCAGTGTCCTCCATCTCCTAGCCAGAGTAATTGATTCAAAGATGGACATACAGTATAAACAAGGCAATGAGGCTGAAACCCAGAAACATTGCTCATACTGTTTGGAAAAAGCAGCAAAGCTGTCTTCCCTGTAGGTCAGATCATGCTAAGGCAAGAACCTGGAAGTTCTTTTCCTGAGGAATATGATCAACCCACCAAGAAAGAACAGAACAGTCTAGCCAGAAGCCTTTAGAGTAAAGCCCATGGAGAAGACCCACAGCAGGCTCAGAGCTCCCAGCAGATTTTTAGTGCCTCATTCTTAAATACGCCAGGAAGCCAAGGATCACCAAAATTTTGAGGAACGTATTTGAGATGAGGTGAAAATAAACAAAAAGTAAAGAGAAACCTGGAGGAAACAAAAATTATACAGGGAGAATAAAACTTTTAAAAATATATCAGTAATACCCTAATAGAGATTAACAAAATAGAGTAGAATGGCTAAAATGGAAAAGACTGACAGTACCAAGTATTGGTGAAGATACAGATAAATTGGAGCCCTCATACATTGTCAGTAGTGCAAATGGTACAGGTATTTTGGAAAACGGTTTGGTCGTTTCTTATAAAAGTAAACATACAAGTATCATATGACCCGGCAATCCCATTCCTAGCTGTTTACCCAAGACAAATGAAAACATACAGACTTGTTCACTAATGTTCATAGTATCTTTCTTTGTAATAGCCAACAACTAGAAGAAAAAGAAACCTAATTTTCATCAACCAGTGAATGGATAAGCAAATTGTGGTATATCAACCACACAATGAAACTGTACTCAGCAGTAACAAGGAACAACTACTGATACATGCAACACCAAGAATGTGTATCAAAATTATTATGCCGAGTGAAAGAAGCTTGAAGCAAAAGGCAACATATTGTATGCTTCCATTTATATAACTTTCCGGAAAATGCAAAACCATGGGGGCAGAAAGCAGATGAGTGGTTGCCAGGGGCTGGGGATAAGGGGAGAGGTTTGACCTCAAAGGGCTGCAAAAAACTCTGTGGGGTGATGGAAATGTTCTATCTTGATTGTGATAGTGGTTACATGACTGTATATTTTGGTCAAACCTTATCAAACTGTATACCTACCAGGAGTAAATTTACTGTATATAAATTATACCTCAGTAAACCTAAGTTTAAAAAGATATGGTATCCATGAAACATAACTAGGATGCTATTATTAAAAGAGAGAATCTTTGGAAAATACAAACAAAAGTTTTGGGAAATTAAAAATATAATGGTAGAACTGAAGGACTGGAAGATAAAGTCAAGGAAATTTCCCAGAAAGTAGAACAAAATAAAGAGATGAAAAATTGGGGAGGAGAAGGGGAAATAGAATAATTAAAGGATCAGTTCAGTAGGAACAATAATCAAAATGGTTACTAAATAGCAATTCAAAAACTTTTCCAGAGTTAAAGGGCACAAGTGTTCAGACTGAAAGGGTCCATCAGGTGTCCAACACAATAGAGTCCCACACTAAGATCCATTATTGTAAAACAGAGGAACACTGAAGACAAGTCAAAGGTCCTAAAAGCTTCCAGAGAAGAAAAAGGAAGACAATGGATTAAAAATCAGAACAGCATTGGATTTCTCAAGTTTAATATAATAGCTATAACACAGTGGAGCAATGCTGTCGAACTTCTGAAGGAAAATAATATCCAACTTAGATTTCCATATCAGTCAAATATTAATCAAGAGCAAGTGTAGAATAAAATATATACAATGTTTTATTGCATATATTTTAGATATATGATATATGATACTTTCCAGGTATACAATACTCAAAATATTTACCTACCACGAGCTTTCTCTCACAGAGTTCCTGGAGAACATGTTCCTCCAAAGTAGGAGTAAATCAAGGTGTCGGACAAAGAAACCAGGGAACAGGACATTCAACATAAGAGATGTGTAAAAAGAATTACTACCATGATGATAAAGGGAGATTCCATGATGGCAGCATGCTCACAGAGCAACCAGTGCAGAGTGGGGCAGATCAAAGTCTCCAGGAAAATGAAGTGAAGGGAGATTTAGACACTGGGGGAGAACTTGAGGATTAAGAGTGGTAAATATACTTGATTAAAACCAAGCAATGAGAAAACAAGACAATTGCTATTTCCAAGGAAACCAAAAACTTGTACTGTAAAGGAAATATAATTATAGCATATTGCATGGCTCAGCTGTGTTGTGGTAATGTAAACACTAGATACTGATCTTACCAAACTGATGATATAATTAGTGAAGCATGCTTGGATTCCCTAACTGGTGGGTGGAGAGGAGGGTGATGGGTGGAAAGGGTGAAAAAGAGCTGCAGCTCCAGTTTCCATAGTATGAAATCAGTAATGCTCAAAACTGAAAAATCAACAAGAGTCTGTATATTCATAATATTTAATGATAGGGAGACAAATACAAAAAAGAAACAGCTGAAAAAATTGAAAAACTTTAACTCTGGAAGGTAAATGGGGGAAGACAGAAGTTGGGTACAGATTTTTTCATAATAAATCTTGAACTACTTGACTGTTTAAACTATGCCATGCATATGATCAAATAAATAACAGTTTTACTATACTGCACACTCAAACATGCATAACCTCAAACTCATTTGTTCAACTTTTGTTTTCGTTTACATCCAAAGACAGAAATAAGGGTCCTGAAGTTTTCCAGAACATTCCAAACATCTGAACATACACATGTTGTGTTAATATCTATGAATCCAACTTTCTTCGTAACCTCTGAAACCCACCGGGTGTAGAGGTCTCAATATTTCCTGCCCACTGATTGGAGAAAACCACGAGCTTACCTCCATGCATTGCATCAACGCGAATCTTCAGTTGGCTGGGCCCAGTCAGCAAACTCTTGATGGCATGAAAGTCAAAGATGGTCCGAAGGAGGTTGAGATAGATATCCACTGGGTCCACTATCTCCACTAAAGATAGAAAAACAAAGGAAAATGTCATTGACTGTACCCATGAAAGATACTTGGAAGCATAAAAAGAATCACTACCTTAACAGCATGAAATTCTGATCACAAGCCCATCATACTAGACATGATGTGGGAAGTAAAGTGTCTATTTGTTGACGAAAATCACAAATCAAGGCACAATCAAGATACTACAAACTTTTCAAGTGCTCAGTGGGTATAAATGATACCGAGTTATAAATTCTTCTTTGCAAGGAAAAAATCAACCACAAGAATAAAGATAAAAATGTGCCCTGTTACTCCTGCCCCCAGTTCCCCGCCCCCCAAAAATGCACACAGCACACATCTCAATGTTTAGAGGCATTTTGGCATATCCAGTTGCCTTTCCTGTGGGGGCTGGCCAAAGACTGACTCAGCTGGTATGAAACAAATCAGCAAGTGACCTCAGTAGTGACCCCTATTTTCCAAATGCCATTGTGCCTACCAGATTCGAGTGCAGAATTGGTGATGAATATATTTCTGAGTTTGCATGAAATCTCATTCATGCCCAATCTCCACCCAATTTCCAAGTGAATGGCAAATATCTAGAAATTCTCATTAAACACAAATCCTCTCCAGCTTCTAGCACCACCCAGTAACCAGGAATCCAAAAAGTTTTATTCACGTATTTGACATACCAAAAAGCTCAGAATACATTTTTCATACTTGTCAATCAGTATATAACTAATGCTCAGAAAGTACTTGTCCAAGAAGTGGTAAATCAATTCTTTATGTGCTAAAATTTGTCTAGGAGCCCTGCTTTTTTAAATTCATAGCCAAATTTTGAAACTTAGGTATATTGTTTTCAGATTTTTCAAATACATACTACTTTGAAACCCTGAAATACTTTTAAACTTGCACTGAAGATACTACCAATCTGCTTTCAATAATTTTTAGTAAATCCAGGTGTGATATTTAATGGATGAGATCTTAATGTGCCATATAATATTATCCCTTCATCTGATCAAATACATATCTAAAAATATTTTTTCTTGCACTTAAGTCAATGTAATCTATGTGTCCATTCAAATAATTATATTTGTAACATGGGTACTTTTTAATTATCTTTTTACATGAGGAGCATAATAGTCTATAAAGTAATTAAAAATTAATCCGTATAAAGTGTACACCTAACAATGGTTAAAATGGTAAATTTTGTTATTTTACCACCATAAAAAAATTAATCTGTAAGACAAAAGTTTATGCCCTGAGTACTTTGTAAGTTTTACTCACTCTACATTATAGGATAATATTTTTGACAATTTCTTTCTGGCTCTTCAATTCTTAAACCACTTGCCTAAATACATTTGGTATTTATAATAGGCAACACACAGTACCAAACAAATGTGAAAAACGAGGGAGCAAGAAGTCAGGAAAAATTGAAAGTTCACATCAATTAGTTCATGCTCTTGACACTTCAAAGGGAAATGCAAAGGAATTATTTCTACTTAACACAAGCTTTGCTCAACACTTGAACCAGCAAGAATACAGCACATAAATTATCCCAAACGATTATCTCCAAATTCTCGGAAGCCAAGGAATCCCTCTACTCACCTCCTGGTATCAGTAACATTTTAGAAAATTCATGCAACTAGCAATGTGGCTGCAGCAATGAGCCCGAATGAGAGCTCACGAAGATTTGAGTCTCTTGGACAACTATAAAAATTGTGAAGATACCAAAAATAAGCCCAGTCCTTCTAACCTTATGTAATTAGCATATTGAAATCATTTTGCTTAATATAATGTACGCCTTGCCTTCAATTGTCCAGCCATCCCATGTGTGTGCACGCATATGCCTGCGCATTCTCCCAGCTAGATTAGCAAAAGCAGGCACTGTTGCTTCCAGTTAATATCATGGCTCTGTAAATTTGTGCTCATTACCTAAGCAAACAACTGACTCAAAACCTCTCAAGAAAGACTTGGTAACATTGGGCCAATACTGTGACCCCCACACAATCCATTTAAAGCTTTTCTCTATCCCTAAAATATCACATGGACACAAACCAGGTATTTCATCTTTTAGGCTAAGTTAAATTACTTCTAAAATGAGGATACCATCTTAATACAAACTGTATCCAAATTTATAGTAGCACTAAAAAAATAAAACGTGTTAGATCTATTGCTATTTTATGCCTTCTAGGAAAAAGCAATAGGATAAAATATAAGGGGGAAAATGATATATACACACGTGTTATTAATGTTGTCATATGGTTTAAAATTAATCTATAAAATAAAAAAACTATTGTCTGAGTACTGTAGAAGTTATATTTGCTTTACAATATAAGATAATAGTTTTGACAATCTCATTTTGGTTCTTTAATTTTTGAATCACTTGCCTAAATATATTTGGTAGTTACTGAATTCCTTTGTAAAATCTCCTAACACAGTGCTTGGCATAGGGTAGGTGATCAATAATTATGCATTCAATAAACTGATGTATAATTATTCCAAGCTTGGTTATGGCTTAGAAAAGAAACTCCTACCTTTCATGAGAAATTTAATAACCCCACTGACTTGTTAGGTTCCTTCTTAACTAAGGCATTCCAGCATCTTCACCTTAATTGCTTAGACAAGTTTTGGCAATTCACAGCCTATTCTTGGAATGTTATAATGAAGTCAACCATAAAATTTTTCCTATATTGAAAATGATACCAAGTTTGGGAAGTGGTTTTTGAGAGTTTCCAGTTCTGAATATCTTGGCTGCTCTCATGTCTTCTCTCTACACCACATTAAGTTTACACGTATTTATCAAGAGTCACCCCTGAGATTGACAATGCAGTAATTTTCATGAGTGTACTTCCCTACAGAAACCAGTCAGCCCCATCCACGTGGTTACTCTGACTTCTTCAAAATAAAACCTGTTACCTCTGAATGGTTTGAATTTGTTCTCTAGGTCAAATTCTTGTCTTCCTAGTCGAGATAGGTCGATTCGGAGATCAGGACATATAGCATATTCCTCAATCGTTTTGCTGATTTGGTAGATTTTGTCTGAGACAACATCGGGTGCAGGACCTAAAATTTGAACACCAAAAATACACGTTTTTAAAAGTCTCATGAATTTCAAACAGAGAAATGTTACCATCCTCCTCCACCAGGCAGAGAAAGATTCATTTGTTCTCTAAACAATGATCAATGGTTCACAGTTCTATTAGCCTTGACATTTCTTATACTGTACTCATCCACCTTGGGGGAAATTTGGTCAGCCTCACCTGTTCTATGTAGACTAACAACACATATGTTTGTTTATTTGTTTTAATCCACTTCTAAGTAGTGACACATCTTTCCTAAAAATAGTTTCACACCTGCCAGGGAAACCTGGTTACGTAATCAGCTTTATTCAGGATATGAGACACAAACAGGATATGCATTTGACAGAAGTGAGGGATTCCAGATTTACACTGCAGCTTCCCCAGTGCACCTAGAAGAGGAAACTATGCTTTCTCCTGCTGCCTAATTGATGTGTGAGCTTAGCAGGGTAAGTTAATTATTTTCCCCAACTCACAATCTCTAGTCACTTCCCAGTTTCTAAAATGAAGCTCAACTAAAAATAAATGATGCATTTCCTCGAAAGGCCAAATTGACAAGTAGTATTAGACTTTAAATAAATTGAACATGAAATCAATACTTGTTCACCTTTTGGGATTTTGCTTTTTTTTTTTTTTTTTTTTTACCTTGTATATCTCAATACAAGCCATTTTCGATTTTTGTTTTTTTGCAACAAGGTTGAAAAACAAATAAGTAGATTGAAAGATCTAAAGTATAAATAATTGACAGATGTATAGCTTTCTGTATGAATCTTACTTGTCAACTATACAGTAACTTTCTACTGAACAAAAATTGTTTCTTGATTTTTAAAATATCTCAGTCCTTAGAACTGCATTGTCCAATACAACACAATAGAAGTTACTAGTCACATTTAGCTGTTGAGCACTTAAAATGTGGCTAGTCGAAGTGTGCTGTAATTCTAAATACACACCAAATTTCGAAGAGTTAGTAGAAAATGCAATAGATTGCATTAATAATTTTTATATTGATGACATGGTAAAATAATATTTTAGATATAGTAGTTTAAATAAAATACAATGTGAATTTCACTTGTTTCTTTTCTCTTTTTTAATGTGGCTACTAAAAATTTAAAGTATGTATGTGACTCATAACATTTTTCTCTTGGACAGCGCTGCCTTAGAGTGTAGCACCATCACCGTATCCCAATAAATGCTCATAAAAAAGAACAGCAATAGTCCTAGTTTAGTAAGTGGGAGAGAAGACAGCCCAGAAGATTTTACCAACAATTTTCTTGTTGTGTGGGAAAAGTGAAGACCTCAAAGAAATAAACATAGCCCTTTGCTTCACTCCTTACCATTTTTTACCCTTCACGAAACTTAAAGAATAGGTAGTCTTGTTTAGTTTTTGCATTATTTTATGCTTGCCAGATTACAGAATGCATGAATATCTCCCTCCACTCCCTACACCCCAGGCACGACACTATGTTTTTGGCTGTGTCCATCATTTTCAAGTCCCTGAGTTTTAATGCCAAAGCACACTGGTTTCCAAAAGTAAAGCAAGTACTGTCTCTCTAGATAGTTGTCTATGATGCCGTTTAACCATCCATGTTGATAATTTCAGAGTTCATCAACAACTTCTGAATTCCTTGCCAATTTCTAAGTTCTCTGATGTATATCTTCCACTCCAACGACTTTCATCATATGCACACCAAAAATATGTACAATTATAACATATATTAAAATAATTGTGTTTTAAAGGATACAGCAAATCTACAGGGACTCATATAAATTTTAAAATGTTAAAAAAGAATACCCAGAGATTTTAAAGTGCATAAAATAAATGAAAAATTGAAAAAGCTTTTTAATTTGAGGTAGTCCCATTTATTTGTTTTTGCTTTTGTAGCCTGAGCTTTTGATGTGACATCCAAGAAATCATTGCCAAGGCCAATGTTCAATAACTTTTTCCCTATGTTCTCTTCTAGGATTTTTATGGTTTCAGATCTTACATTTAGGTCTTTTATTCATTTGGAGTCTATTTCTGTGTATAGTATAAAATAAGGATCCAATTTCATTCTTTCACATTTTTGTTTTCCCAGGCACCATTTATTGAAGAGGTTTTTTTCTTTCTTCATTATATTCTCTTGGTGTCCTGGTCCAAAATTAGTTGACTATATACGTTCTGATTTATTTCTGGGCTCTCTATTCTATTCCATTGGTCTATGTTTCTGTTTTTATGCCAGTATCATACTGTTTTGTTTTTACTTTAGCTTTGTAATAATATAATTTTAAATCAGCAATTGTGGTACCTCCAACTTTTTTTCCTCAGCAATGTTTTGGTTTTTTGTGGCTCCATACAAATTTTAGTATTGCTTTTCTATTTCCATGAAGAATGTTATTGAAATTTTGATAGGGGTTGTGTTAAATCTGTATATTGTTTTGGGTAGTATGAATGTTTTAATAACATTAATGTTTTTTGATTCATGATCAATGACCACAGGATATCTTTCTATTTATTTATGTCTTGTTCAATCTCTTTCACCAATGTTTGATAGTTTTCAGTATACATTCACCTCCTTTGTTAAATTTATTCCTAAGTATTTTTTGATGCTATCATAAATGGAATTGTTTTGATTATTTTCAGCTGGGTCATTATTTATGTATAGAAATGCTACTGGTGTTTGTATGTTGATTTTGTATCCTGCAACTTACTGAATTCATTTATTAGTTCTAAAAATTTGTGTGTGTGTATCTGTGTGTGTGTGTGTGTGTGTCTGTGTGTGAGATCTTTGGAATTTTCTGTATTTAGGATTATATTGCCTATAAATAGACATTATTTTACTCTCTCCTTTCCAATTTGGATGAGTTTTATTTATTTTTCTTGTCTGATTGCTCTTGCTAGTACTTCCAATACCATGTTGAATAGAAATAGCAAGAGTGGGCATCCCTGCCAGGTACTAAATAGTGGAAAAGTTTTCAATTGTCCCCAGTTGATTATGATGTTAGCTGTGGGTTTCTTCAAAATGGCCTTTGTTATGTTGAGAAACTTTCCTTCTATACCTAAAGTGTTAAGAGTTTTTGTCAAGAAAGAATGCTGAACTTTGCCAAATGCCTTTCCTGTACCAATTGAGATGATCATATGGTTTTTATCTTTCATTCTGTTTAGCCAGTCTTGCATGTCAGGGATAAATCCCACTTGGTCTTGATCCATAATTTCTTTGATGTGTTGTTGAATTTGGTTTTCATCAAAATTTATCAGAGATATTGGCCTTTGGTTTTCTTTCCTTACAATATGTTTGTCTGGCTTAGGTTTCAAGGTGATGCTGACCTCATAAAATGTGTTTGGAAGTATTCCTTGTAACTCTGTTTTTTGGAAGAGTCTAAGAAGTATTGGTAATAATTATTCTTTGAATGTTTGATAAAATTCAGCCATGAAGCCATCTGGTCCTAGGCTTTTCTATTTTGGAAAGTTTTTAATCACTTCTTCAATTTTTTATTTGTTGTTGGAGTGTTCAAACTTTGTTTCTTCCCAATTCAATCTTGATAGGTTATTTTTTCTAGAAATTTATCCATTTCTCCTAGGTTCTCCAATTTGTTGGCATAAAATTGTTCATAATAATCCCTTATGACCATTTTCATTTCTGAGGTATCTATTGCAATGTCTCCCCTTTCATTTCTATTTATTTGAGTCAGCTTTTTTTTAGTGAGTCTGGCTAGGAGTTTGTAGATTTTATTTTTTCAAAGAACCAACTTTTGATTTTATTTATATTTTCTAGTTTTTCTGTACTACATTAACTTCTGTTCTGATCTTCATTATTTCCTTCCTTTTGCTCACTTTGGGTTTAGTTTGTTCTTTCTTTAGCTCCTTAGGGCATAATGTTAGTCTATTTATTTAGATCTTTTCCCTTTTTTAATGTAGGCATTTATTGCTATAAACTCTCTTAGAACTGACTTTGCCACATACTGTAGGTTTTGATACATTGTGTTTCCATTGTCATTAATCTCAAAATATTTTTTAATTTCCCTCTTGATTTCTTCTTTGACCCATCTTTGACCCATTAGCTCGTCATAAACATGTTGTTTAATTTCCACATATTTGTAAATTTTCCAAGATTCCTCCTGTTATTGATGTTTAGCTTCATACCATTGTGGTTGGAAAAAATACTAGACATGATGTCAATCTTTTTGAATTTGTCAAGATTTATTTTGTGGCCTAACATATAGTCTATCATAGGGAATGTTCTATGTATGCTAGAGAAGAATGTATATTCTGCTGTTGTTGGATGAAAAGTTCTATATAGGTCTGGTAGGTCCATTTGGTCTAACGTATAGTTCAAATTTAGTGTTGTCTTGTTTTTTGTCTGGTTGATCTCTCCATTGTTGCAAGTGGGGTACTGAAGTCCCCTATTAGTGTTATATTGCTGTATATTTCTTCCTTCATGTCCATTAATATTTGCTTTACATATTTAAGTGCTTCAGTGTTGGATGCATATATATTTAAAATTGTTTATGTCCTCTTGATAAGTTGACCTCTTTATCATTAAATCATGACCTTCTTTGTCTCTTGGAACAGCTTTTACTGGAAGCCTGTTTTATCTGAGATAAGTATAGGCATCTCTGCTCTCTTTTGGTAACTCTTTTCATGGAATATCTCCTCCTATCCCTTTACTTTCAGTATATACCTATTCTTAAAGTTTAAAAATGGGTCTCTTGTAAGGCAGCATCTAGTTGGATCTCGATTTTGATTCACTCAGCCATTCTATATCTTTTGATTGGAGAGTTTAACCCATGTACAAGCAAGGTTATTATTGATAAATACTTACTCCTGCCATTTTGCTAATTGTTTTCTGGTTACTTTGTAGATAATTTGTTCCCTTATTCCTCGATTGTTGTCTACCTTTGTGGTTTGGTGGTTTAGTTTTCTGCTTTGTGGTTACAATGTTGTGGTTTTTTTTAAATATTCAACATGAATACACTTTGTTTGGATAATGTGTAAAACGTCTGCAAGGAGGGATAGATAAGTTTTCCCTTCAGAATGCACTGTTTTGCCTGGGATCAGGAATAATTTATAACGGTAACTGTTGCTGGTTAAAATTTGGCTCCTACCCACATTCATGCAAACTCAGTGTTCTAGATTAAAAGAGATTTAAGAGACTTGCCAAGCAAATGCATGGTCCTTAGATGTATCCTGATTTGAATAAAACAGCTATAAATAATAATAATGTTATTTTGGGGATTATTGAAAGTTTTGACTATAGATTAGTTTTCAGGTGGTATCGGAGAATTAGCATTATTATTGTTAGGTATGTTAACATGGTCATGCAGCAATATGTCTTTCTTTTTAAGAGAGGCATACAAAAATATTTGGGTGTGAAATATTCTTATGCTATAATTTGCCTTAAAATTCTTCAGAAAAAAAGATAAGCAAAATAGAAAAACAAGATAACGGGTACATGCTATCTATTTCTTATTCTCCCTATTTTTGTGTGTTCAATTTTTAAAAGAAATTTACCCTCATACATATATTCCACCCCCTTCACTAAGGACCCCCAAACTATAAATTGCTGTAAATAAAAGAAAAAGTGAAATAATTCTATGATTTTGAGAGAATGTCAACACTGTAGGAAAATGAAAGCCCAGGATTTGGGCTAAAAGTCATTAATCTGACCCTGATCAACCCTGTGGCCTTCAGCAGTAACTCGACCTCTCAGGCCTTTGATTTGTTCATGTGTAAAATGAGGGTCATTGTCATTCAGACAACGACCTTCAGGGTATGTTTTAATTTTAACATTCAGAGTCCTTCTATATCAGATAAGCATCAACTATTCAGTTGTTTGTGTTGAGGAGTATGGGGGACCAACAGACTCCCCAGATGGGTTCATGAGCCCACTATGCCACTTCCTTGTTGGATTACTTCGGGCACCTCACTAAATTTTTCTGAGCCTGGTCCTCTTCACCTTGTTTGTCTATCATCAAAGGGTCACTGTAAGACTATAATAATATAAGAGGAAAGAAATCGTGATTATTAAGCATATTCTGAACCACATACCTCCATTGGCAACATTAAATTTCACTCCAAACTCGCCCCCTGGTCCTCCAGGGCAGTGACTGGCTGTTAGAATGATTCCACCAGCTGCCTTGATCTTCCTGATAATGCAGGAGACGGCAGGTGTCGACAAGATTCCATTCTGTCCAATAATCAGTCGTCCAATCTAAACCATCCAAAAAAAATAAAATCAAATCAATCCAGTTGCTTGGGATTAAAGGCATTTCAATAGGAAAGTGCCCCAGGCTCTGTTAACATACAGCCAATCTCTTGACAAAAGGAACAGAGTGGGCTTTAGATTAGGGGAGGCAGAGTAGGGGGAGCTCTGACATTGTCTCTCCTTTCTAATGTCTCTAAGACCATTTGGGGCACCCACATCTAGTAGTCAATTATTAACCTGTAAATAGGATATGCTTCATTGATCTTCAGTAGTTTGAAACATCTGCTTTTGATAACTGAGGGATTAACTTGAATCACACAAGAAGTTCTTAGTTTGGTACTGACTCAGAAACTATGCCTGTACACATGCCAGAGATTACAAGAAAAAAAAAATGGAGTGCTTCTCTGCTTCTTCTGCTTCCTCTAACTTAGAACAAGCTCAGAAAGCAAGGGGACTGATTTACTACAACCTCATCATCTGTAGGCATGTTTTAACTGTAATCTTCAGGAATGACTGTTCTCCTGAAAGTAGGAATTCTCTTTCTGCTGTTAAGTGACAGCATGTGCTGGAGGCATTGGAGAAATTACCCAGTCATGCTAAGCAGAGATCTGGAGGTCATCTGTGGATGCAAACAGATTCTTTCTAGAGCTACAAAACTGACTTTTTAAAAAGTCAGCAACACAGCCCTGAAGAACATTTATTGCTATACTTTGTCTTAAAATTTGATTCAATATCATCCAATCTAGTAGTTCTCAATATTTCTACAAAATAGAATCCCTTATGAAACTTTTTAAAATCCCAGTACTCAGACTACATTCCAGACTGATTATATTGCGATCTCAAGAGCCCAGCATTAGTAGTGTTAAAGCTCCACAGGTGATTCCAATGTTCAGCCAAGCTTGGTAATCAAGTCCCCTTGTTACTCAAAGGGCTGGCAGCATGGGCATCACCTGCGAGCTTGATAGAACTGCAGAACCTCAGCTGGGTGTGGTGACTCACACCTGAAATCCCAGCACTTTGTGAGGCTGAGGTGGACAGATCACCTGAGGTCCAGTTCCAACCTGGCCAACATGGTGAAACCCTATTGCTACTAAAAATACAAAAATTAGCTGAGCATGGTGGTGCACGCCTGTAGTCCCAGTTACTCTGGAGACTGAGGCGAGAGAATCGCTTGAACCTGTGAGCCAAGATGGCACTGCTGCACTCCAGCCTGGGCTACGGAGCGAGAAGGAAAGGATAGGAAATGAAAGGACAGGACAGGACAGGAAAGGAAAGGAAAAGAGAAAGGAAGGAAGGAAAAGAAATAGGAAGGAAAGAAGGAAGGAGAAAGAAAGAGAAAAGAGAGAAAAAGAAAGAGAAAGAAAGAGAGAAGAGAGAAGAAAGAGAGAGAAAGAAAGAGAAAGAGAGAGAGAGAGAGAGAGAGAATACCGAACCTCAAGGACCACCCGAGGCCTACTGAATAAGAACCTGTATTTTAATAAGATCCTCTCCTCTCTTTCCAGATAATTCATTTGATAAGTACTGATATAACCCACAAGCCAAAACAAACTTTAACATACAGTCCAACAGCAAAGTTGCCCTGGCACCATCATTTCTAGAGGTCAGTCACCGACCAAATATAACAATCAGCGAGATCAGGGGAAAAAAAGATACAGAAGAGATTACACACACACACACACACACACACACACATCCCCCCCACCAAAAAAAAAGCTCAAAAGCAAAGCAGTCTTGGGATGATTTAGTATGGAAATCCACAAGACCCCCAGGGTACATATTTTCAAGTAGAGGAGACAGATTATAAACAAATAGGCAATAATAATAATAGTTACTAGTGGGGTACATATTAGAAAGAAATTAGACTGCTGTAATAGAGAATAAAGGATGTCAATTTTAATAATAACATAATAATAATAGCTAAAGGAGCTTAGATTTTATTCTAAGTACAACTGGAATTCATTGAAAGGTTTTAAACAGTGGAAGTGACCTGATTGCATTTTTAAACATCATGTGCTGAGCAGCCCAAATAGTCCTATTAAAAAGTAAGTCACATCAAGTCACTAAAACATTCCAATAGCTTTCCTTGTCCCCCACCAACTCAAAACAAAGCCAAAGTCTTCATTATAGTCTACAAGGCCCTACAAAATCTGACCTCCATCACCTACCATTCTCCACTGCCCTCCCGCCCTCACTCTTCTGTTCCAGCCACAACGGAACAGAAGAGCTATTCCTCAAACACAACAAACATGATCCCGCCTCAGGGCCCTTGCATTTTCTTTTTCCTCTGCTAAGAATACTTGCCCAGATATTAACATACCTGCCCTCTAACATCCTTTGGGTTTGTTTCAATGTAAACTAATCAGAAACAGCACCCGTGACAGCCCTATATAATACTATAGCCAGAAGTCCCTAACTTTTCTATTGTTTCCTATTTCCTTCACCCTGCTATAAATTTTCTGAATCATACATATTGCCATCTAATATTTTCCATATTATTTATTTTCTCACTGTATGTAAGGCCCAAGGACTTTTTTTTTCACTGCTATATCCCAAGAACCTAAAACAAATCTGGCATGTGGTAAGTGTACAATAAATATTTGTTGAATTAATGAATGGAGAATAATGAATGAATGATGAATGCCTTCTCTGGGAGAAATACCTTGAAGTGGGGGCAAGAGCAGAAAGAGGAAGATCAGATGGGAGACTCTTCAAGTCGAGTGTTGACAGAGTCTTGGACTAGGCTAGAGCCCACAGAAATGAAAATTAGTCATTTGGTTTGAGATATATTTTTGGAAGGAGGATGAACAGAATATGAGGTGGACTGAAATATGGAAGAGACGGGCTGTGGTAAACAACCTCCAAAATGGCCCCAGTGGTCCTTGCCTTTTGGCATTTGTGCCTTTGTGTGGTCCCCTCCCACACTGAATGGTGCAGATCTGGGTAATCAGTATATATTGCAGAAGTAATTGTGTGTGACTTCCGTGGTGAGGCCATAAATGGCATGGACACTTCTGCCCTGCTCTCTTGGACTGCTCTTTTTGGGAGAGGCCAGCCGCCATGTCATGAAGACGCTCAAGAAGCCCTGTGAAGATGAAGCAAGGCCGGCCAACAACAGTCAGCACCACCTTGCAGCCAAGGGACTGAGCCATCTCACAGTGGATCCTCCAGCCCCCACCAAGCCTTCATACCACTAAACCCATACCAACATGTAACTGTCACTTCATGTGAGTCCCCAAGCCAGAATACCCATCTCCTATCTCATAGAAATGATGAGAGATAATAAATATATGTGCTCACACATATTACCATCTAATTTTCTACATTATATGTTTATTTCTCCACTGTATATAAGACCCAAGGACTTTTTTTTTTTTTTCACTGCTATATCCCAAGAACCTAGAACAAACCTGGCATATGGTAAGTATACAATAAATATCTGTTGAATTAATGGGAAAAAATGAATGATTAATGGTTGCTCTGGGAAAAATACCTTGAAGAGTGGCAGGAGCGGAAGGAGGAAGATCAGATGGGAGGCTAACAGTCAGCACCACCTTGCCAGCCAAGTTACTGAGCCATATTGCAGTGGATCCTCTAGACCCCATCAAGCCCCAGCTAAGCCACTAAGCTTCATGGTAATTTCTTACACTGCAATAAATAACTAATATAGGAGCAGTGAGAAAAGGAGTCAAGAATAATCTCAGCTTTCTACCTTTCAAAACTTAATGGATAGTGGTGCTGTTAATCAAGTCAGGAAAGAGAAAGGACAATAATTACCCCCATATTATTATCCAAAGTCATGATGAATTATTTTCCATATGGTCTTGCTAAAATTTATGTAGTCATTCAACTCATTTTATTGAGTATCTACCAGGAAACAGGTAATATGGAAGAACCTTCTGATATAGAACTGAATATAATTTAGCCACTGCCCTCAAGTAATAAGTCTGGAGAACCAAGAATCTGAAAAATATTGTAACTTTTGTTCAAAATTTTCTCTCAGCCATTTAAAGGGAAAATTTTGAAAATTGTATAGTGGTGACAGACTGGGATAGTAGTCCACAAAAACTTAGGATGCACTTTCATAGCGCAGAGTCGATGCTGAGGAACAGCTGCCCAGCCAGGGGCTACATTTTCTAACCCACCCTTGCATCTAGGTGTGGCCGCATGGTGCATTTGGACAATGGGTGATAAACTAGTATGAGAATGAGAACAGAAGTAATGTGTGTTTCTTCTAGGCTGAGGATATTAGAAAACAGATATATCATCTCTACACTGCTTATTTCTCTTCCCACAGATTCAGTACAGGTAATCATGTGGCTCTAGGCAATGCCAGAGTCACAAGAAAGGAAGGAACCCGGGTCCCAATCCCATTTGGTAGACAAGAGTCTTTGCCCACCAGGGACATCTTCATTGGACTATTGTGTGAGTGAGAAATAACATTCTATTGTTTTTAAGGCAATAAAAATTGCCTACATTTCAGGTTTATTTATTACAACCACCTGCATTTTCTTAAGCAGTAGTGAAAGAAACATAAGCAATAGTTTAATGCTAAATCAAAAATATCAAATGCAAAATTATTTTATGCTATTACAGTATAAAATCATGCCCACTTTGGGGCAAGGACTTAGAAAAATGCAGAACTAAACAGGTAAAGTTTGTTAAGTAGGAGAGATTATAAATTTTTATCTTATTAAATTTCAGTTATTTTTGAAAAGGCAATATGCATTCTGTTTAAGAAGGTTAAAGTGAGTAATTACACTTGAATAAAGTTTCAACCTGAAATATTTTAGTTATAATTGGAGAATTAACAGAAGATTAAATTCTAGATATATGGAAATTTTACCTATGTGAGATCTGCTCATTAACCCATCAATACCAGAGAGAAGAGGTATTGCTGGATGTTGTCCTATCATCTGAGGGATAAGTACTGGAGGAGATGTGAGAGTGGGTGATGGGGCTTCTAAGGTAAGACATGGAAAATTGTGAAGATATTTGTATCCCATATGGACACTCACCAAATGGTGACCTAGGCAGAGGAGGATTTTAATAATAGGATGACCAGTTCTGTGGATGTCAATAAGTGTCTTTCCCCCAGCCATTCCTGTCATTGTCCAATGGGCTTATGAGCAAAGTGGCTGATATGGTTTAGATGTTTGTCTCCTCCAAATCTCATGTTGAAATGTAATCCCCAGTGTTGGAGGTAGGGCCCAGTGAGTGGTGTTTGGATCATGGGGGCAAATCCCTCATGAATGGTTTATCACCATGCCCTTGGTGATAAGTGTATTCTCACTCTGAGTTCACATGAGATCTGCTTGTTTAAAAGTATGTGGACCTTCTCTTTTGTTCTCTTGCTCCCACTCCTGCTGTGTGATATGCCTGCTCCTACTTTGTCATCCACCTTGAATAAAAGCTCCTTAGGCCTCACCAGAAGTCAAGCAGATGCTGGCACCAGGCTTGTACAGCCTTCAGAACCATGAACTAACTAAACTTCTTTTCTTTATAAATTACCCAGCCTCAGGTATTTCTTTATAGCAATGCAAGAATGGTCTAATACCATGGCCGTCATGGCAGGGATGAAGGCTATGCACGGGCTCAACAACATGGACTTTCACTCACCAAGGCTGACCTGGCTATGGCCACTGCAGAGTGCCTACTCTACCAGCAGCAGGGACCAACACTGAGTCTTCTTATGGTACCATTCCCCAAGTAATCATCCAGCTACCTCGTAGCAGATTGGTTAATTTGGGCCACTTCCATCATGGAAGGTGCAGCACTTTGTACTTAGTAGAATAGACACAAAGAAGAGGAGATATGAAGACCAATGCAAAGATTGGAGTGATGTAGCCACAAACCCAGGAAGCCAAGGAATGTATTCTGCTGCCAGAAGCTGGAAGAGGCAGGGAACAGATTCCCCCTAGAGCATCTACAGAGTGTGGCCATGCCGATAGCTTAATTTTGACTTCTGGCCTCCAGAACTGTGAGAGAATAAATTTCTGTGGTTTTAAACCACCAAATATGTGGTAATTTGTTATGGAAGTCCTAGGAAATGAATGCAAAATTTGCAACCTAACACAAAGTTTGTATTAGCTTCACAAGGCTGCTATAACAAATTGCCATAAACTTAGTGGCTAAAGGCAATTAAAATTTATTCCCTTATATTTCTGGAAGCCAGAAGTTCAAAATCAAGGTGTCAGCAGGGGCCTGCCTCATCAAAAGGCTCTAGGGGAGGGTCCTTCCTTGCCTCTTCCAGTTTCTGATGGCTCCACATATTTCTGAGCTTGTGTTCACATTACTCCAATCTCTGCCTCTGTTTTCATGTCACTTTCTTCTCTGTGTGTCTATGTCTTCTCTTCCGTTCACCTCTCTCTGCCAATTATCCCAGGATAAATGTCATCAGAAAAGGTATGGCTTTCAAGATCTAATCATTGATAAAAAGAAAGATAACTTTTGGAAGCCCTTTTGTATAAAGAAAAAGTACTCAACTTGAAGTTAAAAGGCATAGGTATGAGTCTTGACTCTACCCCGACATAGGATCATTTAACTTCTCTGAGGCTCTATGTCTTTATCTGAAAAGCCAAGAAAGAAGAGGATTGCTAAAATCCACCGAAGATCAGATTCTACAAACAAAAATTCTTTATTAAATTAACTATGACACAAATTATTCTATTGTCTTCCCCAAATCCCACAACCCCCTCCAACATTTAAAATTCATCTTTAGATAGCAGATTATCCCTTAAACTACCATTTGACTCTCTGAAAAAGTTCTAGAAATACTATCCTCTGTCAATGTAGCAGACCGCTACCTTTCAAGGAAAAAATGGTTTACTTACATAATTAGCCTTAGTTTTGTTTACAGCATTGAAACAAGCAATATCTGACTTTCATTCCCCAGTGAAATCCAGACCACGGCCCAGGGAGGACCAAGCCATGGCATTCTGCTGCTCCCCACTGAATGTCCCACACCATAGGGTCTGGCTTTGGCTGGAAGAAGGGCAACTTCACCCAGTCCTCCAGAAGGTACACACACCCAGGTAGATGTTACTGCCACTAACGGGCATTTCCTTCAACTCCCACATGGAAAAGGGGGCAAAGTGGACCCTAGTCCACTGTCACTCACAAACACACACATAGGAGGCACACAGATACACATCCCAGGATCCACATCTATCACATATACGAACATTATCACACAGACCCTGCAGACACATCTGTGAGGCATATGCATTCCCAAACACACAGACAGACTCAGGATGAATTTGTTCCTACCCACCCATGACTTCTAAAATGCTTGAGGAAATGAACACATAGTAGAAAGGAGTGTGCAATTATTTCCCATGATGCCATTGCTTAAGAACTCTTTATGTCTGTCCTTCTAATGGCATCAATGCCTCCCATCAAGCCTCAAACCTCACCTAAATTATGTCACTGGGCTTTTTCACCTGCAAATGGGCATAGTAGGTGCCAAGGGAATCAATATGCCCTTTCACATGCCTTAGACCAGTGTCCCAAGAAAGATAAAATGTTATTCTATTCCTTTACATTTTGTGCCATATACAACTATGGTTTTTTAATGATCTTATTTCTGACAGCTGTATTTCTTCAGAACATCAACAACTTCTTTCCTAAATTAGTTTTAGTATAAGTTCAGTTTCTAATTAGCTCAAATTAAAGTCCTAGAGAGCAGCGAGGTAATATTTAAACACTCAACCTAAAATCTCAGAGTAGGTGCATAATTTTGACTCTCAGTGAGTTTTTCCTGTGACATAACACTCGTGAAAGCAGGATTGCTTTCATGTGTGAACTCTCTTAAATCAGACTTACCCTTTGTGATTCTCTTTTAGCTTTAAATGTCATTTAAGAAAAAATAAAGAAAAGAAAATTAAGCATGACATTCTCCAGTACCTCTGCTCACTGTGTTATAATCCCTATCACTCCCCAAGTGAATTGGAGAGAGTGAAGACACAACGAACAGAAACTTCCTTGATGCTTCACAGAGGAAGTGTTCTCCAGGACCACACAGCCTCCACCATGTCCATCTGTAAGTGCTGTGGCAAGCCATACACAGAAAGATGCCTGTTTCCTGTCTTCTCGGTTAAAAACAGAAACAAAACACTGGAAGAAACCCCAAAGCCAAGCTGCCATGGGTTGCAGAGTGCCAGCCCTTAAGTAGTGTTGTCCATAGGTAAACAGGAGACAGATAAGGGCAATTTCAAGAAATAACAAACTCAAGGCATGAATGTGGTTATCCAAACATCAAGGGACTTCTTCATTTGCATTTGGATAATTGTGCAGTTATATGATTTGTTACATGGAGACCAGCTGGAAGTAAGAGAGCTCATCCTCAACTTCCTGTACCTATGGAAGTCTTTACACACATGCTGGAGAGAGAGATGAGAGTTCATTAGCATCAAAACAACATGAATTTCACAATCAATTCCTAATATCTGAACAAATACAGAAAAGTCACAGGCATCTAGAAGTGCAGCCCAAGTTCTGTTCTTCAATCGGCCCACCCATTTCTCAAGATTTCATTGAGAAGATCAAGAAATCTAATCTTCCTTGGATGCAAAATGGAGGTGGTAAAAATTGGAAGTATGTCCTTCCTGGTAATTAGGCAATTTCAGTACGTAGGAAGTACTCTGAAATCTTTAAGGTATAGAGTCTGACTCACTAGAACAAGAAAGGGCCCCACTTGTTGCCATTTTATGAGGTGACCATCCCAGTTGGATCCCAGGATAAGAACTACAAGTGTCCATTGGGTCTACCTGGGTCTGAGTCAAGAAAGCAGAGTTGAGTGCCCTGAAGTAAGCTGAGATTTTGGGGTTCAATGGGAAAGAACATAAGAATTGACTTTGCCACCTACTGCCTGAGTGACTTTGAGCAAGATCTCAAATCCCTATGTATCTCGGTTTTGTTATCTAAAAGATCACGTGATGGAGGATGCAAGGAAGTAACACAGGCAAGACCCAGTTTACAGTGTCTAGTACCTAACAGACTCTTGACACGTTTCACTTGCCCTTGAGTCAATCTTTCCATGTCACTGAATATTCTTCCACAACATGATTTTAATGGATATAGTCTTCCATTATTTAAATGTACCATTACTGACCAATATAAAAATGTTATTTTACCTCAAATTGTTATATGTAAAACAAAAACATGTTTGAGGACTAAACTCACACTGTAGTATAAATTAAACTGGATGTAGGCCAGGCATGGTGAGTCACACCTATAGTCCCAACACTTTGGGAGACCAAGATAGGAGGATGGCTTGAAGCCAGGAACTCAAGAGCAGCCTGGGCAACATGGCAAGACCTCATCTCTACAAAAAATAAGAAAAATTAGCCAGCCATGGTGGCGTGCACCTGTAGTCCCAGCTTCTTGGGAGGCTGAGGTGGGAGGATCCATTGAGCCGAGGAATTTAAGGCTGTAGTGAGCTAGGATAACCACCGCACTCCAGCCTGAATGACAGAACAAGAACCTGTTTCAAAAAAAAAAAAAACCTAAAATCTATAATCTGGATGTAGTTTGCCAATAACTAAACAGCAAATTAATTGTAATATGCTTACATATAAATGATGTCTTTATTCTTTAATCATAAACCTGCTCACTAAGAAGCTGCTGAAGTCCATGGTAGTGACAGGTACATGTCTGCATCCTTGTCCTGACCTGCATCTTCTTTGATTGTCCCCATCTGTGTCTCCAACTGGCGCTGCCGAACTGGCCTGCTACCTGATCAATGTTGTTGAGCTCACTGCACAAAGCTGTTCTTAAAAGGTAGATTTCTGCCTGGAATAGTCATACTTACACCACTTAAATTCCTTACTCCTGAAACATCCAGCTCAGCACAAGTTCTATTTATTGCCATAGAAACGTAGGTCATTTGGAAACACCTCCTTCATTTCTATGGAATGTTCAAACATTTCTGACATTTTGGACTCTGTTCTAGCCTCTTGTTAAATATATCCAGAAAAGAGACAAAGCTTTATGGGGAGGTTATGTGCACGCATATGCTATAGAATAAACTATCTAAATGCTTAAAAATACTTTCCATCTGGCACCGCACCTTAATAGGTAGACAGAAATTATGTATGTGTCTATCTACCTATATAGATACACATAAATACATATCCCCAAAACAGAAACTCATTCTCTTATTTATATATAGGTGAATATACATATACCTTTGTAGGTAGAACAAAAAAAAACCCTCAGCCTCTTTAGGGCCATGCATTTTCTCTGAGTAATTGTCACAATTAATTAGAATACATTTGTATGCATCTTTAGATAAATTCCATCAGATCAGTTTCTGTCCGGTTGGAAAATAATAACTGCCTATTTACTAAGTGCCCCTGCCCCCATACTACGTTCCAGTGAACTAAAGACCTCTGGCAATCATAGATTTACAACGCAGCAAGATTAAACAATTTACTGTTATTTATGACAGCCAAGCTGGATCTTCTGTATTATATTTCACATTAGCATCTATCACTTTACATTTGGGAGATCCTGTCCAAAAAAAGATTATGCCTCCTAACCAAACATTCAGCAGGGCTGCAGGAACAGGCCCCCTGACAAACATCCTGCCAAAGTACTTTAAAGCACCGTGAGCTCCTGCAGCTGTGCATTTTCAGACGACTCAGCAGATTAGCGTGGAGTCTCTTAGCCTCTGCTTGGTCTGTTCCTTTCAGTAATCTCTCACATAGCCCAGTCCATTCGGTTTGAAAATCCTCATGAAATGAGCAGATTAAGATCTGGCTTCAGTAGGGGGCCATGGGTTGGGCATGGAGGGGAGAGCCGGAGCCTCAGAAAGGTTTCAGATGGAAAAGCATGGCACTGACTCAGCTCATGCTTAACAGGAAATAATGCACAGACCACACCAAAAAAGTCCTTTATGTTGTATGAAAGTCTACGCTGAAGCAGCTGCTGCCACTTCATGTACTGTGATAGAGTGCGCATGTGTGTGTTTGTGTGTGCATGAGTGTGAGTACGCACACAAATGTGTGCTGGGACGGGGAGGAGATCACACGTTCAGCAGTCATCACTTCAGCCTTAGCTAGCAGCATGGAGAAATGCCAAAAGTCAAGAGGAAGCTGCACCAAAGCAACTGTGATCACCACATCAGCAGGCGCCTTCTGGTTAGTAAAGCTACTGGGACTAAAACACACACACGAACTCGTCCTTCTTTTATTTTAACCAGAGTAAAATATTTTTATAATAATTGTATTACATGAGTAAATAAAATAATTCATAATGCTGTAACCCATTATCACATTCAATCCTCCCAACAACCCTAGAAGATACGCAGACAAGTATTATTACTTTCCCTATTTTTATAAATGAGGAAATAAACCCCAGGAGGTGACTTCCCCACAGTCATGTAAGTTGCAAACAATAGTATCATGATTCAAATCCAAAACTTCTCCTTTTGTCTTCATTATTGTTTTAATTTTGAAGGTAATGCAAATGCATGTATGATCTTTTAAATCCAGAGATGTATATGGGATAGGAAAAGGGACTCTCCTTCCCCATCCTACACTCCCTCCACCCAAGCGATACCCACTGTTGACCGGAGTATGTTTTTCTAATCCTATTTTCTATGCCTACATAATATAGAGAAAAGCAGGATTACATTACACACAATATTCCAGTCATTGCTCTTTTTCACCAACAAGCTATCATTCACATCTTTTTCATACTACATATAAATTTATATCCTTTATTTTAGTGGTGTATATTATGTGGTTGTGTCATAAATTATGTACCTGTTCTCTGTTGAACATATAGATTTTTTTTTCTGAGTTTTTCCTTAGCAAAATGCTGCAGTGAGTACCCTTGTACACAGAAGTTTGTACATTTATTCTAGAAAAATCTACAATATAGTTTCTTAGATTAAGAGATTCCTGGGTTATTAAGACAACTACTCTATTAATTTAGATATATACTTCCAAATTGCCTGGCCAAAAAGTTGTGGCAATTTAACTTCTATGAACAGTATACAAACATGACAATTTTCCAACACCTACACCAACTCTGGGTAATTTCACCCTTTTTTACAAGTTGATGGATTGTTTTAATTTATATTTCTCTGGTTATTAATAGGGTTGGCCACCTGTTCATGTGTTAGTATTGATGATATTTGTATTGAATTGTTTGATTTTTCTTGATTTGGAAAACCTTTTTACATGTCATAGATATTAAATATTTGTTGTAAAACTCTCCTTCCAGTATTTTGTATGTGTTTTGTCAAGTAGAATAAATTCTTGTCCTCTGATTTCAGATTCCTTTCTCTTTCCATTAGAAATCCCTAAATGTAAAACTGGATATTGATAGCTAAAAACCAGGATGTTTACTAGAGAAAAACAATACAAAGGCAATAATTAAATATATTTATACAAAACACCTACTAGTCCAAACTTAAAAAGAGAAAGTAAAAGTCAAATGCTTCCATGACTTCAGACTAAGAAAAAGAACTTTTGAGGTTGAATGTTCCTGAAACTTTTCATACAACTACAGACATGATTCCAAAAGTTGATGTCACTAAAAATGTAAGATATGAAAGATATTTGAAGACTCAGAGAAGGTGGATTTTCATTTTAATGAGTCACATATATATTCTAGATATCCTCTTATTTGTAACTAAGAGAGTCAAATCAGATGAAAGAATCTAAAAATGTCCCTTTGACTGTGGTAAGTAGAAGTAGTGGAGGTGTATTGGCCAAACCTTGAGTGTTTGTGAATTAACTCTTAAGGCTATGGGCTGACACAGGCCATTGAAGCCCTAGCTTTTTATCTTTAATTTTAAAATCCCAGAACAATTTATACTAATTTTTCTTGTCCATTATTCCCAAATAACCTTGTTTAAATGCTATTACAGTGCTTGTTCATGTTACTGTTGTCTAACAGAAGGGTATCCGGGGCCTTAAAACTGAGAGACTTAGGATTAATGACTCCAATACCTATGCTTGGACTTCTCCAAAAGTGGGTTCCAACTTCTTGTCCTCAAGTCTGTATAGAAACTAGCAAACTTCCAGAGTTCACAAAAGGCTCAAAGAGAACAGATGTTTTATAGAAAATTCTTAGAGCAAGTTTCACGCATAATGTTGCTGATGTGTGTCTGCCTTTTCAATAAACATCACTATGCTTTATCACAAGATTTAATAAAGCAGCTTAGTTAAAAATGCCATCTGGGTCTCTGGACACATTAAACAAAGCTTAAAATAACCACTCCAGCAACTGGGAGGACCCAGCTGTTCTCACAACCTCTCCCACTCCTTCTACTTCCCCATAAAAAGAGTGAATGAAGACCACAGACTAAAAGCATCCAGAATGAACTGACACAAACAGGGAGATAGGTGGAGCCAAGGGCTCTAGTAAGTTTACTGTTGTTCACATAGTAGATTTGCTAATTCCACAACTTGGGGATGGGGATTCAGAAAGGGAAGCAGAAAGAGGGAAGAGAGAATCATGGAAGGGCTCATTCAAGTTTTCTAATGTATTACAAACCTGTCCTCCCTAATGTCTGGACTATAGTAGCCCATTCCACTCACCTATTCTGTAGTGAAGTTCAGTAGAAAATACAAAGCAATCACCACCCAGTTCTTTCTCCCTTCTAGAGATGAGATGTTAGCCACCCAATCCCAGACTCTCAGATCCATTCCAGGAAAGAAGCCCTAGGTATTGAAGCATAGGTTTCCCTCCCTGCTTTCTTCTACCCTTCCTCCTTCTCTCCCTCCCCGAGCCACCACCACATCCCACTTTGCTCCACTTCCAAATCTTTGTTGCTTGGTTTGGGGGCCACGCCAAGATTTGTTCCCCAGATAGTTCTAGTAAACGCCAAACCAAGTATATTCTCATTCTTTAGAGCAACCAGCTTTTCATGGCCAACTGGAATCAAATACAACCTGCACAAACATCTATCCGGAGGACAATCCAAGGCTCCGACTGAGCCAGCCTTCTGCATACCACTGTATTTCAACTTCCTATTCACAAGACACTGAGACATTCTTGAATTCTGTAAGGTGCACTGCATGTTAATACATTGCTGCTCATCATGTGGCCAATATAGGGCATGACTAGTCAACAAATTTTCTCTTGGCTAAAACTTGCAACAAAACTGTAAGTTGTTTACCAAGGGGCCCACTACAGGTTATATTCAATACATACAGTCAAATCATAATTATCTGAGGTATATTCAGTTGACCATACGCCTTTATATTTCAGCAAAAGTTCTTTACATTTCCCAGTGCTATCGATGTTACAAAATGCTTTCATGTGCAATGCTTCATCTGATTCCCAGGATAATTAAATGGTGCTGTCATACCTGATTTTTAGATGAGGAAATAAGTGGTTTCTGGGTATTTCAAGAGGCTAATGCATCTGCCCTCCAACTTGTATGTGTAAACCAAAAACAAAATTCCAAGGCCCTTCAACCATCTGAATGGACTTTGACTCTTCTGGTCAATATATGGCAGAGCTAGGAAAAGAAGGTGAGTCTTCCAGCTGCTGATACAGGGTTTTTTCTGCCATACTGCATTACCTCCAAGGCTAAAATCAAAAGACGGTGAGGTTATCACAAGAAAAAAAATCTGGTTTGGATTTCCCAAATGTGTATGTAGTGTTTGGTGATTTATGTTAATTTAACCTATTGTTCTTTTGGGTTGTAACAGTCAGACTCCATTTTTGAAAACAAAACAGAATCGATTTTAAATGCTAAATTATTGATCATTGCTGTCTCGTATGGTAGCTACTAACCACTTATGGTTATTTGCATTTCTACTTTAATTAATTAAGTAAAATGCAAAATTCAGTTCTTCAGTTGCTCTAGCCACATTTCAAGTGTTCAGTAGTCACATATGGCTAATGGTTGGGACAACGCAGATTATAGAACAGTTTCATCATCAGAGAAACATCTATTGAACAGTGGTATTACATAATGTCATCTCCAGAGAAAGAAGACTTGTAGAAAAGGTCAGAAACAACTGGGCACAGCGGCTCACAGCTGTAATCCCAGCATTTTGGGAGGCCGAGGCAGGCAGATCCCTTGAGGTCAGGAGTTCAAGACCAGCCTGGCCAATATGGTGAAACCCCATCTCTAGGAAAAATACAAAAAATTAGCTGGGTGTGATGGTGCACGCCTGTAACCCCAGCTACTCAGGAGGCTGAGGTGAGAGAATTGCTGGAACCCGGGAGGTGGAGGTTGCAGTGAGCCAAGATCGTGCCACTGCACTCCAGCCTGGGTGACAGAGCAAGACTCCATCTCAAAAAAAAAAAAAAAAAAAAGAAAGAAAAGAAAATGTCAAACATCTTGAGGCAGGCACAGTGCTGTCATCTGTCCAATATTGAAGGTGATTTAAGAATAAGAAAGAAGAAGAGAACAAAGAAGAGGAAAAGAAGTTGCCTTAGGTGTACCCACCCAGAAAAGGACAAAGGCATTCCTGTAGTCATTGTGTTGTATTTTAGCTCTTAAACTTTTTAAGAGATTAGAATAATTTGATACATAGAAGATCTAAACCGCTGAAGAGGCTCTGAAGCAGATAAAAATAGAAAGAAAATAAAAAACTAATTAGTTACCAATTAAGCTTAACCACAATTCATTTAAACTATACAATTTACTCTTTACATGATTGGTTTTTCCCTTGCTCTATAGTATGACATAGTTTATATTTTTAAAGGGGAATTAAAATATTTCTGGAAATTTTTAAATGTAAGTTCACATAGCCACATAAAAACTGCAGAAACAGATAAAAACTATCTTCTCATTTATTCCCTAATCCATTCAAATTAAATATAAAAATCCAAGCATCCACAGTGATATTTAAAAAAGCAAAAGTGAGACAAAACAAAATTCATTTGTCACCTGTGGAGGTGGTTAACTCACTAAATCTTCACTCCAAACACCAGTAATTTTGAAAAGACAGAAAAAAACATATGCTCTGCCTTTCCAGAAGGAACTATGTTTCAGGGTAGCCAAATAACCCAGTTGTGAAGAAAATGGTCTGCTTATAGAAAAATGCCAGCTAAAACATGTAGATAGAATTAGAGAATTAGAAATTCACCATTTTTAAACCCCTAATGAAATAATCATCTCAAGCAAGGATGATTAATAAATGCTAAAACAATCAAGTAGATATTGATACAGAATATAACTGAATATACACACTACAAAGTTCACGTCACAGACTACTGACTTGACCCAAGGGGGAATATAATGGAGGAGATAGGCAGTGATCACCCTAACCTTGTGATCATCTCAGCATCACTAATGATGGGATATAAATACACATTATTGCCTATGAAATATTCTTTAAAAAAAGAAGTTGAACCTGAATCTAACTAAACCTTGCAATGGGTTGAACGTGTATGTCTTCCCAAAATTAATATGTTGAAATCCTAACCCCAAAGGTACTGGTATTAGAAGGTGGGGCCTTTAGGGGGTCATTAGGTCATAAGGACAGAACCCTCATGATTGGAATTAGTGCCCTTATAAAAGAGGCCCTAGAGAGCTAGTCTCTCCCACTATGTGAGGGCCCAGCAAGAAGGTCACTCTATGAACCAGAAAGTTGGTCCTATCCAGATACCAAAACTGCGGATGCCTTGATCTTGAACTTGCTAGTCTCTAGAACTGTGAGAAATAAACTTCTGTTGTTTGTAAGTCATCCAGTTTTTGGTATTTTGTCATATCAGGACTAAAAGTCTTTAGAACTAACTTCCAGTTAACCAGAAAAACAGAAAACAGAGTGAAAAGTTAAATGACACCATAAAAAGCAACCAGAAAATTCCAGAAGGGGAAATATTCTACAGGACAACTGACTAGTTTTTCAACAAGTCAATTTCATTAAATAAATACATAAACAAAGAGTGAGGGTACTTTCTAGGTTAAAAAAGTATTGAGCTAAATAATCAAATGCAATGTGTGTCCCTTGATTAGAAGAAACTAATTTGAACAAACCAGCCACAAAAGATATTTCGGGGAGACCAAGCTAGAAGGATCACTTGAGGCCAGAAGTTTGAGACCAGCCTGGGCAACGTAGTGAGACCTCCGTCTCTACAAAAACAATAAATTAGCCGGGCGTGGTGGTGTGCACCTATAGTCCTAGCTACTCAGGAGGCTGAGGCAGGCAGATCGCTTGAGCCCAGGAGTCTAAGGCTACAATGAGCTATGATTGTGTCACTGCACTTCAGGCGGTGTGAAAGAGCAAGACTTTGTCTCAAAAACTAAAAGGACATTTCATAATAACTGAGGCAATCTGAATGTGGACTGGGTAACAAATGATATAAAAAAAGATTTTTTATTTTGTTTGAAAAGATGATATTGTAACTATACAGGAAAATGTTCTTATTTTTTAGAAATCTGTACTAAGGAATTTAGGGGCAAAATGTCATTTTCTTCAATATATTTTCAAAGACAAGCAAAAAAATAATCATGACACAAATATAGCAAAATGTTTACAATCTATGTTCTATGTTTGTCTATGAGTGCCATTAATCTCATCTCTCTGCTTTTCTGAAAGTTTGAAAATTTCAGTTTTATAAATTTTTTTACATTCCATAATTTTATAATAAATTTTTTAAAGTTTGAAGCAAATCAACAACTATAGCTTCAAAAATATCCTAAGCCACAATAAACACTGAACAGGGTATATTCCTGCCACTTTCTAAAAAAGTTGGCCCAGGAAGGAGTATGAGAGCTGCCATAGCTCTCCCAAGGCTCATTATTCTCCATCACTCCTTGGGAAATCCCAAAACAAATTTTTTAAAAAATTGTTTAAATTTATGTTTTTTGATTCTACAATTTTATAATAAAATAATTTAATAATGTTTTAATTGTATATTTTAATTTATAAAAATTTTTATACATGTTTATGTTTGAAATGTCTATTTCAAACTTTATGAGATATTAAAATATAAGTAATATAGTTCGTCATTTTAGAAATTCCATGTTTTTCTTTTCTCCCAGCAATTACATAATCAAAGAGTAACTATAGTTTTTCATAGAACATCGTTTTGTAGGCTAGGCACGGTGGTTCATGACACTTTAGGAGGACAAGGCAGGCAGATCTCTTGAGATCAGGAATTTGAGACTAGACTGGGCAACACAGAGAAACCCTATCAGTATTAAAAACACAAAAATCAGCTGTGCATGGCAGCGTGCACCTATAGCCCCAGCTACTCAGGAGGCTGAGTTGGGAAGATCACCTGAACCTGGGGAGGTCAAGGCTACAGTGAACCAAGACTGTGCCATTGCACTCCAGCCTGGGCAACAAAATGAGACCCTGTCTCAAAAAAAATAATGAAATTTAATTTAAAAAAAAGAAAACTGCTTTGTAAAATTAACTTTTTCAATCAAAACCAAGGTTTTTCAGATACAAAGAATGCAGCCCACTGGTCAGATTTGTCAGTTCAAAGAGAATAAATTCTAGTTTTCTATTTTTCTAGCCTGTTTATGACTATCCAATAGGATATCAAAAAAGACTAAAGCATTTGGAATACAAGTTCAGTATTCCTGAGTCTAACTCAACGTGCCAAATCAGGAGATAAGCACATTCTTATCAATTTTCAATCATTCAAGACCAATTTTGCTTATAATTATCCGGTTATTTTAGACCATCTTTCTCCTGAAGCCAGCCTTATGGCTATTCATTTCACTTTAGCATAAGACCCCAAGAAGGAGAACAAAATGAGGAAATGATTGGTTAAAATTGGCTGTTTGAAATTCTGAAACATGTCCACCATTCCCTTCACACATGCCCACCCCTCTTAGAAGTAGTACTTTCAGATTATTTAAGACTCGATGCTTCTATGTGGATTTTAATTTGTCATCTGTCCTCTATAACAGCTAGTAGGTTAAATTTGACTCTATTTTAAGCATAATTGACCTATGCTAATTATCTGCTAAAATAAATTTCACTCTTAGAGTTAATAAAGTGTGTTTGTCATAGAAGACCCATTGAAGTAAGAAACTGAGGAGTCCTTATGGTAAAGTGGGCCAAGATATAAGACATAAATTTTCCCATGCAAATCAACAACTGTAGCTTCAAAAATATCCTGACACACAAGTATTGGACAGGCCATGTTTCTCTCACTCCCTAAAAAAATTGGCCGGGGAAGGAGTATGAGAGCTCCCATAGCTCTCCCAAGGCTCATTATTCTCCATCACTCCATGGGAACAGCCTTGTCAGAAAAGAGTGAAAGACCATTTGTCAACCTCTGTTCAACTCCCTGATTCTAGCCAACCTTCATCAATCCCAAGTGAGCAGCCAGAGAGAAATGCAAACCCCATATCTCCAGCATCATTGTCTGCTGGAGTCAAAAATCACAATTCCACCACCCACCCCAACACTACTGGCCCTGTTTCTCCCAATTGTTTTTTATTATGTTTTTTAAAAAATCATCTTTCCCCATCCCTGAGACACTGAGGAGGGGAAATTATAGTAGATAAATATGAAGCATGGAGATCCTTTAAAAATGTTTTTAATAATAAACGAGAAAATGAAAAGGAGAGGGTTGGAAGGAGAAAATTCAAATGCCAGGAAATTGTTCAGTTTTGCTTTTAAATATGTTAACACTCATTTATACATCTGCAAGAGACTTTCCATTAAAGAAAAATTCTATGAGTGTGGCTGTGGTTGCATGAATAAGGATGAAATTACTTTTTTAGACAATGTTTTCCACAGATAATTCAGAGACCCCTGAAATTAGGTATCCCTCTTGTAGATGTCCTTGAGATGCTGCCGGACTTGGGAAAGAGGAAACTGGGATATGGGGCTATACCAAAAGGTGCTTATAGTTATAGGACAGTGAGGAAAGGGGCAGTGGGAGAAAAATCCGAAGTCTGAGAATCTGGATTGCAAAAGAAGACTACCGAGGTCGTGGGAGAAAGGAGAGGAAACAAGGATGAAAACCGAAAGAGGAAGAGGCATGAAATGTTGTCAAATGCCAAAAGGCATTTGGAGAGAAGTTGGGAATTGCATTAAGAAAACCACTGCAAATCTCATTTCAGACCATTTAGAGATATGCCTCCTGGGAACTGCGAGCTCAGGCTGTTTAACATCAAACAAATTGATCCACTCCATCCCTACCCTAATTAAATAAATCATTCAATAATTCCACCGGGTTAAAGAACCAAAATATTAAAAACCTTCAGGGCCCACTCTTGCCAAATATGTCAGGGATCGCGTGCGTGTGTGTGTGTGTGTTCTGTGACACCACTACTGTTAAATAAGCAGAGCTAAGACTTAGGGGATTGGGAGATTATTGCAAAAAGGGCATGGGCCGGGGGACTTTGTTGGGAGCCTACGAAAGAAGATTGTGTGGGGACGGTGGGCAGCGAACGTGTTGGGAACAATATGAAAAACCAGGAATTGCCTTGGAAACGACGGGGCCGGGCAAGACAATGTCCGAAAGAAAAATGAGCAGGTGCGGGATGTGGCCAGAGTCGGGGAAGAGTCCGGGCGCCCGGAGTGGCTCCAGGAATGACGGAGACCCCTCAGTGTTTTTGGGGGCGGTGGGTACTAATAGAACCCGGCGTCCGGGATGCGCCGGGGAGGCTGCGGGTGCGGCGGGGGTGGGGCGCTGGAGGGTGAAGAAGCCGGAGTGAGGTAGCG